CGCCGGGAGCCCGCGAGGCGGGGGGAGCGCGGCCCGCCCCGCGGCCACGTGCGCGGAAACTTGCGGCGGGGGCGCCTCGCGGCGGCCCCGCGCTGCTCCCTGGTCCTCCCGTGGGTCCCCAGGCTCGCCTCGCCTCTGTGCGCTACCGAACCCCCCTGGCCGGCCGCGGTGGGGAGGCCCTGGCCAGCCCGGGTCACCTCGCATCTCTCTGTCTCACCCGCCACTCCTGAGATTTCTTGGGTCCGCCTAAGGCCGAGGAGGGTTGTTACCAGAACGAGAGATACAGGACCAACAAATCGGTTTGGACCCCCTCTCCCCACCAGCCACTCTTTCTGACAACGTTTCTGGGCCCTGATGATTACTGTTACTTGCCTTTCGTTGCTTGCTAGCTTTTCAGACCAAAGGAATCATTACACCGTCGACAGCACCAGATCAACTGGTTTGCATTGGCATGGGCAGAAGAAAATCTAATCACTGTGAGTGGTGAGTGGTGGTAAAAACTAGTCAGGTAATTATGTGGCTTGTCGTTTATTTATATGTATTTGTATGCTTAACATCCTAGCATATAACATATAATATTATCTAATCTAATAAAGGGATAACCTTATGGGCACTGAGCAATGTTAATGTACAGCCTTCTTGCCTTAAGGCCTGGCTATCCCCTGGGTAGTCTGTTCCTTGGAGTCACTGTGGACTCCTAGAATACATACACACTGGAATACATTTAGGAAATGCCACCAACATACTCATGATCCTTGATTTCCCATCAGCCGGTACCTCTTCATGGAAAAGGCATTCAGCCGCAGAGGCATTCATTTTGCTCCTTTATATAGAAAAATCAGTGTTCCGAAGGCCCTGATACCAATGAAGCTCAAGGCTCTGAATTTAATGGCTTTTTCTAGTTCTCAAAGCACTGCATTTTCTTCCCCTGGCAGATGCCATTTTTGCATTATCATGTTGTGGTTGAGCAATGACCTTGTTTAAAACAGCATTTGTACTTGAACCTGAAACTCGAATTTAAGTCCTCTTTCTACACCTGGCCCATTTACCTCTACCTCTGCTCCAGGCTGAGGGTTCAATTTGGAAATATTGTGGGTGTGAGACACGAGGAAACATTTGGACTGCTAAAAGCTACAGAGTGCCCTTGATGTGCACTTGCCTGCGAGTAAACCAAGTCCTCAGAATTAATACCTTGTGGCTCGTGTTGTTTTTTGTTTTGTTTTGTTTTTAATGTTATGGAGAAAAGAAATGACTCTGGCACTGCTTCAGTTTCCGTATGTGCATTAGACAATGCAGAGGACACGATGCAGAGAAAGAAATTATAACCTCTGCAGTGCTGGCTCATGCTTCTGGCATGGAGTCTTTTTAAGTTCACGGAATTCTCCTGGCTGTTGGCAGGACTTGGATTTACAGGTTCTTTGAGTGTGTGTCGTCTCCTTTTTCTGTACATTATCATTTACATACCAGGAAATTTTGACACCTAAAAGTTAGACTGTCACTTAGATAATTCCTGCCATTTATTCCTGAAACCTAGTGTAGAAAGTTAATCCATTCTATACAGGAACACTAAGATCTGATGAGTTCCAAGGAGAAAATGCCCACTCCAGGAAAGAAGGCTCAATGTTGGCACTCCATTTTTCAGAAGCTGACTATCCTTGTAATAGGAAATCCTTTGCTGAATTTTTTTCCTCTTGCTTTCTTGATTAACTGCAATTTTAGGCGTGTTGGAACTTCCAGCAAAAAAAAAAAAAAAAAAACAAAAAACTATGCAATGGGAATCTTACGAAGGGGGAGACTCAGTCACAGGTTGTGATTTGGTGGAATCTCCAAAAAAGTTTTGGTTCAAGACCTGAAAACCACAGTGAAACCAATCTCCTCCTTTTCTGAATTGCAAGGACTTGATGCAAGATGAGTTCCTACAGCCTATAGAACAGTGACAGGAGGAGAAGCCTCCTTTTCTTTTGTAAAGTACTCAGCATAGGACATGCCGGGACAAAGGCTGTAGTAATCCATAGATACTAAGATTCTACTTTGTGCATCTGCTATACCTGATGTTTGATCTAGCATTATAATGTTTCTACTCAGAGCCATAACTAGGAATTGTTGCCTACATACCCCTCCCACTTCTAGTTTCATACATTTCATCTGAAATTCTATCCTCACTCTGCGCTTTTTCTGACTCCTTCTTGAACTTTTCTTCCAGAGCTATCATTCAGTCCATAATGAGTATTAAACACTTTCCTGAGCACAGGTGCCTGGACTAATCATGTGGACACAGAGCACTGGTCCTGAGGAAACTAGGTTCCACTAGAAAAGACACATAGATCAATGATGATCATACAACTTTTTGTGTCACTTAGAGGGTGAAGGCACAAGGGAGGTGTCATGGAGTCTCCACAGAAGCACCCGGAGAAGTGAGTATGAAATGCCCACTAACTCATAGCCAAAGAACCCCCGCCGCCACACCCACAGTCTGGGTAAATGCAGCTCTGCGGGTGCTCACTTTGCAGCAGAGTGTAGCTGTATTTTAGCCCCCTTGGCCAGGCGCTCTGATGCAGGTACACATCATAAAGGCAGCCCAGAATGCCTACTATGTGCAGAATACTTGAGCTTTTATGTATGAAAACCTTAATGTTCCTAAGAGAACTGTCAAACTAGTTGGATAAACGAGAAAAATAATGTTACAAGATATTATATCACCAAATAAACATTCTGGGATTGCAACAAGGGAGTCATAGAGTATCTTGATTTGGTGGTGAAGTGACAGCTTTCTCCTGTTGTGCGAATCTCTGCCAGGACCAGGTTAGGCTTTATGCACATCATCTTGTTTCATCCTCATGACATCTCAGGATGAGAATTATTATCCAACTTTGCAGCTGAGGAACCTGAGACTGTCTCCAAGTGTCTGTCTGCCTGACTCCAAAGCCCAGACATTTAACCACTACACCTCACTGTCTTCCTGGAACTTGAAGTTGAATTGAAAAGTGAGCAGATGTGGTAACAGGCAGAGGTTAACATTAGGATTAATCAAGTTAATCCATTCATTCAAATTGTTGCTTAGTCACATGTTACTTAGGGACTAGGTGAAACTTTTTTTTATCATCTTAACTATTTTTAAGTGGACAGTTCAATAGTGTTTAGTATATTCAAATTGTTGTACAACATCTTTAGAACTTTTTCGTTTTGCAGAATTGATGATCCGTAGCCATTAAACACTAATGCCCCTGTTCAGTCTCTCCCCCAGTCCATGGCAACCACTTTTCCATCTTCTGTTTCTATGATTTTGACTATTTCACATACTTCATATGAATGATACTGTATGTGTCTTTCTGTGACTGGCTTATTTCACTTAGCATAATGTCCTTGAGGTTCATCCATGTTGTAGGACAGGATTTCCTTCTTTTTAAAGGAATCATAATATTCCAGTGTATGTATATACCACATCTTCTTTACCCAGTGCATCTGTCAATGGACATTTGGATTGCTTCCACCCCTTGGTCAATGTGAATAATGCCACAGTGAAGATGGGTGTGAAATTACCTCTTTGAGATCCTGCTTTGAATTCTTTGAATTCTTTTGAGCTTATACCCAGAAGTAGACAGCTGGATCATATGGTAATTCTACTTCAAAATTTTTGAGGAATCTCCATATTGTTTTCCATATGGTTGTACCATTTAGCATTCCCACCAATAGTACACAAGGGCTTCCAATTTCTCAGTATCCTTGCCAACACTTATTACTTTCTTTTCTTTTAATAGTGGCTATCGAGGTGATATCTTGTGTGGTTTTGATTTGTCTTGCTCCTAATATCAGTCATGTTGAGTATCTTTTCATATGTTTATTAGCCATTGGTATATCTTCTTTGGAGAATTGTTTATTCAAGTCTTGCCCATTTTTTAACAGGGCTATTTGGGTTTTTTGTTGGGTTTTTGCCGTTCCTTATATATTCTAGATATTAATCCTTTATCAGATATGTGATTTGCAAATATTTCCTCCCCTTCTGTAGGTCACCTTTGCACTCTTGATTATTTCTTTTGATGAACAGAAAGTTTTAAGTTTGTTATAGTTCCATTTGCCTATTTTCTTTTGTTGTCTCTACTTTCAGTATCCATATGGTCACTGCTAGTATAAATAAATTGATAATTATATGTTTATCTTGTATCCTGTGACCTTGCTGAACTCACTTATTAGTTCTAGGATGCTTTTTTTTAAAAGATTCCTTGGGATTTTTTATGTAAACAATCATGTAATCTACAAATATAGACGGTTTTATTTATTACTTTTTCATTTATATTCATTTTATTCCTTTTCCTTGCCTCATTGCATTGACTAGAACTTTCAGCCCTATATTCAGTAAGACTGGTGACAATTTGACAATAAATTATATTAAAAATAAATAAATAAAATAAAATAAAAAATTATAAGAGTGGTGAGAACAGGCATCCTTGCCTTGGTCCTGACCTTAGAGCAAAGCTTCCTGACCTTAGAGAATAGCATTCATTTTTTTAACTATTATATATAATGGTATCTGTAGATGTAGTAGATTCACTTTATCAAGTTGGGGAGGTTCCCCTCTAGTCTTATTTTTCTGAAGA